GCGTTGTGCGAAGACATATTTCCACAGTCATGCGGTCAGCATGGCTATATACCAAAGGCACACAAAATGCTGTTACCCTCCCACTAAAGTGTACCTATTAATCTACTTACACTTGCATGCTTCCGAACTGCTAGGTGGGCATAATTAACTAAGAGAAAATATATTGCTCATAGGTCTAGGATTGCAAGATGAGAAATCAATCATAATTGAATTACAGGCTCCTGTACCCAAAACTGCTTTATAAAATGGGTATCCTGTGCTCTAGTGACAGCCACATGGTCTAAAATTCTCCGTCCATGTAAACGTTTTCATAAGAAGCTTCATTTCCTGAAAGTGAATCCCTGCAAATTGAGTAAGACAATTGGCTCCTTTGGCTATAATTTACTAATGAGCTTCCTTATTTCTTGAATGATCCTTTTTAAAAACCCACTACTGTAGTCAAATCAGATGCCACAAAAGAGAAAGCTGAGTGCATTTTTAAGCACAAAGGATCCAAATTCTTCTCCATTAATTGCTTTACATGCCAAAGCTGGTTTTGGGCAATGAGAAAAGTCAGGCCTAATTTCCACATACCTAAATATAAACAGATTAGGAATAATTGCATATTATGTAATCTTTCTAATTCTCCCTAGGAGCTGACAGACTATTCTGGCTTGATGTTATGTATGGCTGGTAAGCATATGCCTTGAGGGCTGTATCTTGACTACCAGACCTTTGCACAGGCTCTAATGTTTAGCAATGGAAAAACACTGAGAACTACGTTGATTTTTTTAATCAGCCTAATGGTTTGATTGTTTCCAGACTTCTCTTTTCAAGCACTAGGGACACAGATTTAGCACATCCATCAAGATTCACATCATGCTCAATGAAGCTGAAATTTTAGTGTGTTTAAGATGGTAAGATTCCCAGTTTCCTAAAGGGACTGAAACCTAGATTGTAGCTAAGTTAAGCATGGGTGGCATAAGGCCTAAAAAAAATCAGGTCTCTACAAATAAGCTACTGAAAAAACTGTCAGAGTTAAGTTTTGCTATGTGACAAACGTGTGGAAAAAGCTGCATGAGTCTTATCTTACTCACTTTGAACTATGCTTGTCAATAAAAACTCTGCAAAGTAATTCATTCTTCCTCCTCTTGCAACTTATTGAGTTATTATGAGGTAAGATGGACAGCCAAGTAATTAATTAGTTAAATAAATCTTATGCACCTAGTTTATTGTTCAGCAGGATTTAATAAATTATATTTAATGTAGTAAAAAGAACATACAACATGTTTGACAAAAAACACGAAAGTCTACATATTGTAAGCTATAGCTTTTGGAAGGCTAAATTGCATTGACTCATTCATATACACCCACAGACATAAAGCATTTAATGGCTGTGCCAGAAATATTCTGATGTAAAGAAGCTAAGCATTTGAGACTGACGTTCTTGATTCTGCATTTTTAAATGTGTATTTTTTCAAAGCATAATTTTTCAATGTACAAATAAACCTGTAAATTAATCTAGTAGTTATTTTGCTATGGATCCTAATAACCGAAATGAAGTCCTTGCCTCATCTTTATACAAATGTATTCATATTGCTAAAATTTTATTTATTAAAATTATAGGCCACGCATCTCACTGTCACACAACTCTGGGTGGCTAATAACATGATAAAGCAATATTATAAAACATTAAAACCATAAATGTAACGTTAACAGAAAATTAGCTAAGATGGGGGGGGGATATAAAATGGGATGAAAGTGGGATCTTTGATTTAATTTGCTAATCCTACCTCCAGAATGGCACGCCCACATCTGGACTCCGGGACAATCAGGAGAGCCAGGTTTTAAAGCCCTTTTGGAAGGCCAAGAGGGTGGCGGCATATCTCACCTCGAGGGATACGATGTTCCAGATGACAGGAGCCACAGCAGAAAAGGCTCTTCTGCACCCCACTAGCTGGAATTCCTTGGCCTTCTGCCAGCCTGAGAGGAGACAGCCAATCCCATGGGGGTGAGATGTTTCCTCTGGTTACATCAACAAAATGTATTAAAATAAACTATTGAGGCTTCTCCGAAAATATTTCCAAGCCTTACTTCAATCTAACACTTTCTGGGACTATTAAGTCCCATATTATGGCTACTCATTAAATTTAATGCACTGCAAAAGCACAGAACTATCCTTCAAATTTGTGTCTATTAGAATGCCATTCATGAGTCTTTCTGAAAAATTTCTAGCAGCCATAAACTATTCTATGTCATTGTAGGCATTTTTACTTCAGATATGTACACATTTAAATAAAACCACTTGTAGGCTCTATGTTTGAACTTTGTTATTATATCTTTTGATTTTCACAGTTGCATAAGCCCCTATCTCTATAAACTCCCAAAGTCAAGATTTGTTACACATATAATCACACTTTGCAGTTTTCTAGAGAATAGATTTAAATCAATTTTAGTTTGTGAATCAGCAATCAAGCTTAGGAAATTAAAAAAAACCCCACTAAGCCTAAGGCATAATAAAGGCAAATGGGGGTTAAACAGATAAGAGGAAATAAACAATGTTAACTTCAGTTGCTGGAATTTGGACTGAAGGATGAAACAAATCATTTAATTAAGTGATAATTCCTTTACCAGTCTCATTATGGTATTTTGGAAGGATAACTATCATTGCAATCAACACTGCCATCTACTGCCTCAGCTGCACTATGATCTTTTTTTTTTTTTACACTGGCATGTACACACCACTGTTGCTTGTAAATGCAAATACCAGATGATTGCCACTTTCTCATTCTAGCTTTGAAATGTGGGGTTGGATCTGAACAATTATTACAAAGCTTTAATAGAACAAAAAGCTGTGGAATCAACAGCAAGCAACATCTTGTTAAATATAGTACTCACCACATAATGCCCAGCCTACATGAACCTTTGGTTGGCTGGGCACAGAACCAATGATTATTTTTTGTACTGCTATTCCAATTTTTAGTGTGGGAGAAAAATATAGCTGACTTGGTTGGAGGGCTGTTTTTTTCTGACTATACTTATTTCCATTAATTTATTTAAAGTCACGACAATCCTATAAGGTAGACTTAAGAAACTAGTTCAAAGACAACTTATGAACTCACAACTCAAGTCCAATATAGTATTTGAGCAGATAAATCGATAGCAATAACAACATAACAGAATTATATACCATTTCATAGTGCTTTACAGCATTCTCTGTCAGCCTATGGCCTCCAACAATCTAAGTCCTCATTTTACCAACCTCGGAAAGATGGAAGGCTGAGTCACCCTTGAGCCCCATGGGGATTTAATTCCAGGTTGTGGGCAGAGTTAGTCTGCAATACAGGTAGTTCTCAACTTACAACCACAATTGAGCTCAAAATTTCTGTCGCTAGGCAAGACAGTCATTAAGTGAGTTTTGCCTCATTTCATGACCTTGCCACAGTTAAGTGAATCACTGCAATTGTTAAGTTAGTAACACAGTTGTTAAGTGATTCTGGTTTCTCCATTGACTTTGCTTGTCAGAAGCTAGCAAAAGGTGATCACATGACCCCAGGACACTGCAGCTGTCATAAATATGAGTCAGTTGCCAAGCATCTGAACTTTAATCACATGACCACAAGGATGTTGCAACCGTTGTGTGAAAAATGGTGATAATTCATTTTTTTCAGTGCCATTGTAACTTTGAACGGTCACTAAATGAGCTATTGTAAGTTGAGGACTACCCGTACGGCATTCTAACCACTGCACCACCACAACTCCTTACTCAATTCCAAACATGGATGACTGGGATTCCTCTTGGAGTCCAGAGGTGCTTGCTTTTTCTCTATACATCTGATTTCTCTTAACACAGGGTAGTGTTAAGAGTCCCATAAAACCCAGGCATTCTCAGCATGTTCAGTCAGGAACCACTCTGAGTTCCCATATTAAAGACACCTTTGAATCAAGCTACAGTATTCCATTTGTTTCTATGGATGCATCCATGCAGCCTCCTTGCCATCCATGCACATATATTTTTCACTTCTCAGTCTAACCCTCTGATTTCCTGGTGGTCTCCCATCCAAGCGGAGATCAGACCCGACGCTGTTTGGCTTCCCAGCAAAGGCAAGATCAACCAGGAGCTTCCCGGCATACCCGGAGGACCCCAGTCCAGCCAAGAATGTTTGAGCCACTCTTTTTGCAGGGTTCCCTTCTCCTCCCACCAGTGAAAACCACACACGCTTTCTAAGCTTTCCTCCTTCAAATACAAATGCAAGACCCCGCATCCGCCATGCATTGGCTCTGCGCGTCCCTCTTTGAAGCCCGGCCCCACCGCCGAGCACCCTCTCCTTTGGGTTCCCTGACATTCGTTTATTCCCCAGCAAGCCGCTCCCGTACCAGGACTCGCTCTTCTCATCCCCATGGCAACAGCGAGCCGCACCAGCGGCGGGAAAAGGCGCGCAGAGCTCGCCCTCCCTCCCTTTACGGCGCGTCGTAAACCGTCTCTGCAGCCGCTTGCTTCCGCCAGCTCCAGTCGACAGCCGAACCCGGAAAGAGAGAGAGAGAGAGAGACAGACAGACAGAGAAAGCCGTAAAGCAGCGCCTCTCCCCGCGCTTGGTAACTGGTGGCGTTCCGACCGCTGCCTTGGAGAGGAGGAGGAGGCGGGGTCAGAATGGCAGCTCCGCCCCTTTGGTTTTCTGGCGGGGGGGACGACGATGCCGGGTTGGGGGGGGGCGAGACCAGTTGCTTGCTTAGCTCCGCTGATTGCGATTTATGACGATTCTCTTTGCCGTCTCGAGAGTGTCTTGCTTTGTCTAGTGTGAAAGGGGGGGGAGTGTATTCGGGTTTTATTGTTCTCTTCCTTCCCACCGGGGGCGCCGGGGCTGGGGTAGTATGGCCCGGGTGGGGCGGCCCCTTGCATGCAAGCTGACTTGCTCCGTTCCCACGTGCTTTCGCAGACAAGGCGGGCTGACACCTGAAGGGCTCTCCGGTTCTGCCCCCACATCTCTCTGATCCCCTTTCCAGGCTGGCAGCGGCAGTCATGGCCCAGGTGGGGCACAGGGTGGATTACCTGGCGGGATTTTGCTGCCCGGTTGGGGGATTGGCAGCCGGGAAGCCCCGCGTGCTGTGCCACGAGAACCAGATCTACCTCTCCAATGGCACCGAGTACGTCTATGTCTACGATCAAGAAGGGCGGCTGATGAAGGTATGTCTGGACTGGCGCTTGGTCCTGCTAGCCGAGCCCAAGCCCTCTTCTTTCAGGGGCAGGAGCCATGGGGAGATAGAGACGCTGGAAATCAGGTCAGAGGCTGGGAGGCGATTTTAGGGCATGACAGCAGCATCTCCTTAAAAAGTTCGAAAACACTAGTATCTTAATAATTACTGAATCATAGTTGATCTCTCTTAACCTGGTTTAATATCTCCCATCAGTGTACAGAACAATGCATTGTCTAAGCACTGAAGATAAGTACAGGTGCAATTCATACTGCATCCTTTAGTGCTAGCTTAAAGCTACCTTCCCCAGTCTGACAGCTTCCAGATATAATGAAGTACACTTCCACTGCTCTTTACTTAGTGTATGATGGGGATTGTGGGCCAAAGCATCAGAGAATGCCAGGATGGATTAAATCCCACTGATGTATGTCTGCAGCAGGTTGCTGTATCAAGCTGACCTTGATTGATCTCAGAAGCAAAGCAGGCTCATCGCTGGTTAGTATTGGGATAGGAAACCTCTAGGAATTTCTGTAGACTAGACAGGGAACTTCAAAATGTGTTCTGCAAGAATGCATTGGCAAACCATTCCATACTGACAAGAAAGCTACATGGGTATACCCAAACATCTTTGTAAATTGAGTTCGACCTGGTGGGTAAAATCTGATGCGAAGAGATGCATTCATTTTCATGGTAGCTCTGTTTCCCAGTTTGTAATTTTATCGTGAGTTTTTTTTTCAACACCATAAATGCTAAAAATAAGCATGTTCATACAGCACATGAGCACGAAGCGAATTCTATGCATATCTACCTTATGTCACCAATCCTAATTCTAAATACAGCATTTGGACTAAAAAGAGAAAAAGTAGAGCAGCACTGCAACACATAAAAAATAATGATATCCCTAACAGAATGTTGATTTTCTCTGCTCCTTCCCTTGAGGAGACTTAAAGATAGAAGTAGTAAAGTGCCTTTGGTGGCTTTGTTTAGGAGAATTAGTTCAAAGTAATGACAGACAGCAAATTTTTGCACCAGAGGAGACTGGGTAAAGAAAAGCAATAATTACATGCAATGTACTTTCTGGACAGTGGGGGATAACTTGGGCTACAAAATCTGTAATTTGTCATATTTCTGGGAACTAAAGAGTCCAGAACTTCTGTAGGGCACCAGCTTACCTATCCCAGTCATAAAATATATCTGACAGTATGGGATCCATTCAGCGATTGGATTGTGACCAGTTTTTTTTATTACAAACGAAGGTGAATATACATGTCACAGGTATTTTTTTTAATTATTCATCATTTTAGGATGCTTTCAAAGCCCATCAGTTTACATTTGCTTGGCTGCTATCGGGGACCAGAAATGCTTTCCAAATAAGTGCTGGAAGTTGTCTTCCTGCATATGAATTTTTAGGAGAAAATTAAACAGCGCAGAAAATGAAGTCTGCCCTTCATAGTTCTGGATCGGAGCGAAGGAGATCTACTGCATTATCTTTGTCCATACAGTTAGTTCCTATGCTACTCCTGACTAAACTAAAACTTGATCAGAAATGTAGCTGAAACTAGGACGCTGTGTTTTTCCTTCATCAGTGCTTGAGCTTCTAATCTGTTATTATTTTTTTTAAAAACTAGTCTCTTTACAAGAGTCTCTCCTATGAGCAGAGAACAGATGAGTAGAATGCACTGCAAACACATAGCTCTGTGTGTGTGTGTATGTGGGAGGTTTAATAACAAGAATGGCATAGTAGTAGAGAAAGAATCAAAGTGAAATGGATCCTATGTGATTAACCCAGACTGCTTTGATGCTTTGTTTTCTACCCTCCACATCGCATTATTCTAACTGGATTCCAAGATCAGCCCATATTCCCGCTCTCCCTCCTTCCCCATTTATCTGGTATTTTACATAAATAATTTGGAAACCACAGCTTCATGTTTGAAAGACTCCTTGGATCGTTATTATTATTTTTTCTATAAAAAAAATTAACAGGCAGAGAGGATATGTGAGATGCAGAGATGTTCTTAACTGTCTACATCCTTAATTTAGATTTTTCTGTTGATTTTTTTAATGATATCTTTTTCACCATAGCAACCTTTGGTAGCAAATTGGTTGTTCTTCATAAGTCACCTACGTGTAGCATCCAATTCTTAACATCAGTCTGTGGTGATTCTCCCCTACCCTCCTTAAAACAGTCCTTACAAATCTGCCTTTTGTTTCTAGAGTAGTCTTGTTGAACTATAAAATGAAAGATATGTTTTCTGATTGCTATATTGTCACAATTGATACATATATAAAATATATTTTCTCCAGATTACCTAGATTTTCCAGTGCTGTTTCCAAGATCTAAACCATACCTTCATATATTAAAGCAATGTTTCTGAACCTCAACAATTTTAAGGTATGTGGACTTTAACTCCCAGAATCCCCAGCCAGTATGCTGGCTAGGGAATTCTGGGAGTTAAAATCGCACACTTTAAAGTTATTGAGGTTAGAAACCCTTTATTAAAGGCATCCCTTTAATTCAGATAATAACAAGCTGAACTTTGCACACTTTCCACTCACATAGAAATATAGGTAATAAATAGTTTAATATGCGTATAGATTATTCATTTCTCATATAAATAATAAAAATACAGACTTTGCAGGGCTTTTTCATGCATAGATTATACTCGATACTCTGTGCTTATAATGCTGTTGCAGCTTTGACTGCAGACAGATGTGTGTGTTGGCTGCTGCTTGTTCTCTCCTTGCTGAAATGAAAGCCCCCATCTTGGATATAATATGCCACTTGTTCAATGACATATCAGCCACCGTTAATGGCTTAAAAGGAACAATGACGTGCAAAATAACATCCTCAGATAAAGAAACAAAGCAAATAAGATTTACTTTAAGCTTCCCTCTAGTTGAGAATATACAGAAAATGGCTTCAGACTAGATGTGCTGAGGTGTCTTAAATGATACATACTCACAGGATTCTGGGTCTGATTCTGCACAAGGCAGCAACTTATTTGCTTTTAATAGATTTCTATCCCTAAATTATCCATCCAATTCTCAGTGGCTGTTAGTTTGTCAAGGTAGTCCAGGCAAGAGGCAGAAGCAGGAGTACCGTAATAGCTCTCTACTTTTATTGTAAGATTATGTTAATGGATCCTTGCAAGTCTGAAAATATTTCTCCCCTCCTCTCATTTTAACTCTCCAGACCTCCCAAAAACAGGGAGTAGCTGCTGGTTTCTCCAGCCACAAGCACAGGCCAATTTCATAGGGTGTTGCAGTTCTGCCAGTAACCTGTTGCCAAGCGTGAAGGTCTTTGTAGATTAACATCCGCACTGCTCAGCCAATGAGCAGCCAAAGTGGAGCCTGCACTACAGGGCTTACGGGCTCCATTGATGTCTGCTGGGGAGCATTTGGTCCGCTGTATTCTCTACCAACTGAAGCTTCCAGATGGTCGCTAAAGGCAGCCCTGTGCATTGCGGTAGTTGAGACAAGCGGTGAGATAGCTTGCTGTGGCTTTTGGAGAGGCAGATTTTCAACTTCCCCCTTGTTTTGGTTTTCACTTTTTCCCAGATGAAGCTTGTGGCATCTGGGGGTGCAAGATTACCAGCTTTCTACTGGCATTGTGTTCTTGCTTTTGACAACAGTGCCGTGAGGGGGGTAAATTGAGGTGTAATTTCTCCCATTTAACTTAGAGGTGGAGAAGTCTTCACCTACTCAATGTTATTTTACTAATCAAGAAGCAATACCGAGCACCAAGAAGCAGTACCAATACCAATAGCAATTGAAAAAAAAAGATAAATTCTATGGTATAAGGCTCTATCTCCTATAATGAAATAAGTGGTAAGCACCAGAGTAAGGTTTTAGGTAGACTGCCCTGTTTAGCGACCATTCAAAATTATGATAGTATTGAAAAAGTAAGGGTTCTTACATTTACGCCTGTCACAGTGTCCCCATGGTCGCCTGATCAAGATTTGGGTATTTTGCAACTGGCTGGTGTTTACCACTCTCACAGCATCCCGCAGTCATGTGATTATCATTTGCACACATCACAGCCGGCTTTTGATGGCAGAATCCATAGAGGTGCCAGCAGTAAAATTGCAAGTCACGGTCATGTGATATCTCACTTAATGACTGTGGCAGAAGTGAGGGAGTGAGTCCATTGTGGTCATGTGATGTTTTCCTTAACAACCGTGTTGCTTAGCAATTAAACAACCACTATTTGTAATTTGATAGTAAATAATGTGCACTTTGGTTTATTTGGAACCAGAGCAGATTTTATTAAGGAAAGTCTTCCCTGCTCATTCTAGGCAGGCCTACTGATGACCAGTTGGATGTGTATTTATATGCCTGGTCTAATGCGAGTCTATAAACCAGAAAATGGGCTGTAAAGATGTCTGCTAATGCATTATTTTATCTGGAGAACTACTGAAGCCTTTTTGTGATCCCCCATCCCATTTTCTTCCTAGGCTGTCTACAGCTTTCCTGATCAAGTCTGGCATGTGGAGCTCTTGCCCCTCCACCATCAGCTGTATATTCTCTGTGCTGGGGTTGGCATTTATTGCGTGTCCTTGGACTATCAAAGCAGGTGAGGGAGGAAATGTGATTGCATTAAGTATTTCAAGCTTCATCCCTTGCCTAAAATTCTTGAATTAAAGGCTGAAGTGATCACATAGATTAAAACATAGAATATAAAACATAGAATGATAGGGTTGGAAGGGGTCTTGGAGGTCTTCTGCTTAAGCAGGAGACCCTATACCAGTGGTTCCCAAACTTTTCTATACCCCGCACCCCTAGAACGCTTCTGATATATTCTCGCACCCCTTACAAAAGTTTGAAATAACAGCAACAAGTTATGCATATACACTATAATTTTGAAAACCCAAGTTTTCACACCCCCTGGAATATCGTCTCGCACCCCCGGTTGGGATCCTCTGCCCTATACCATTCCAGACAAATGACTGTCCAGTCTTTTCTGAAAACCTTCAGTGATGGAGCACCTGTAACTTCTGAATGTAACGATAGGATAGGAGATAGGATAAAGGATAGACAGGACAAGACAGGACAAGACAAGACGACCAGACAGGACAAGACAGGACAGGATAGAAGATAGGCTAGGAGATGGATAGGCTAGGACAGGATAGGATAGGATAGCTCTGACTTGTTGGGCAGATGTGGCCAACAGAACCTTGTTGAGCCTATGGAGGTCTTATGCCAGTTAATGGGCTGAATTTCTATGACTCATAGAATATCTGATTGGGAGCTTTGTGAATGATCTTGCTGTCAATGGCATCTAATTCCCTTAAACTGGTATGGAGCTATGCTTATAATAGGAGATGAGGATGGGATATGTATGCAAAAGTGGGATTTGAAGGAAGTAAGCGAAAGATAGCAACATGAAGGTACTCTTAAGAGGCATCTCTAATGTACCAAGTAGCAGGAGAGAGAACTTGGATTCTTTGGAGAATGCAGGATATTTCCAGAAGGTTGAGAGTCATGGGCAAGAGGAGCAAATTCCTCAGACAAGAATACCTTAGGTTCAGAGAACAGAAGATTGTTGAAGTTGCAATATATGGGGGGGAGAGAATATGACATTTTCAAGAAGTACCACTCACCCATCTCTGTTACTAGTTTCTGGGCCAAAAGCACCTTCCAAACCACCTTCAAGAGCCAAGAAGCACAGTGTAATAAACGCATCTTGGTATTACAAGATATATGTCACCAACAGCTCTCTATGCAGAAGTTCGGCAAAAACTGAATACGTATTGCCAAAGATCTTTTGCATAGTTCTCTGTGTCAGTACTGGATTTAGGAGGATCCTGATTGCAGATGTGTTTTTTTTTAATGGGGAATGTGACCTTAAACAAGGTGTATCACCCAAATCCTGAAGCCTAGACCCCCAACAATGAGCAACAAATCCATCCTGCCCAACATTATACACTCAGTTTTCTAGAACCTAGACACATGGGAAGGCTATCAAAACATGCAATCCTGAGCATTGACTGAAATCTTGGCATTGTGGAAATCAAGGTTTGTCTTTTCCTTCCCCCACAATGCTTGCATGGGCAGTATCTGTTGGGCAGCGTTTAGCCTCAAGGTTTAGTGACTATGGTCTAGACCAGTATTTCTTAAGGGCTGCTCTGAGGACCTCTGGAGGTCCAACCAAGACCCTCTCAGGCTCCGTGAAATCAAAATTATTTGCCAGATATTAAAGTTATTTGCAAAACTTTAAAGCAATGTCACTCTTCTCATTTTTTTATTTGTTAAAGAATAGTTTTTTTACGAAAAATTACATTAATATCTAATATTATTTTTACATGATTCGATAAATATGAATGTGCAGGTTTTAATTTTTAATATGGTAAATATTGATAGATATATAAAAATTATGAGCTCTTTTGGGATTCTCCCTAACTTTTAAACACGGGAAAAGGTCCTAAGACCAAAAAGTTTAAGAAACCCTGGTCTAGACAACAGATTTCCTGATGGATTGCTGGAAACTGCGGTTGGCACCTTCAGAGGCAGGATAACCATTCAAAAGTTCTGGCGAAACATCAGGAAATCGGTTGTCAAGACCGTGATAATTAAACCCTGAAGCTCATCACCTTCCTGAGGTTGCCTTTCCTTATCTAGCGAAACTGTTAATACCATCATGCAACACGTGCAAACAGCAGCTTCACACCTTGTGCTTTTTAATGTGGGAGACTGAATGCAAAGGGAGCATTCAAATCTCTCTGCCAGCCCCATTGACCCAGATAGAGCATTTCCTCTAATGTAGCCTGCAGGAAGCCCTGTTCTTGGCTCTCGCATCCAAGTTGTCCCTTGTGTGTGTTTGTGTGTTTCTGCCATTCTTTTCCAGGTTCTAAGCAGCTTAAAAAGAATTCTTAGATAAAATAAAAAAAATTAAGGGGCTGGAACTTCCCTCCAGAGGTGTTGTTCTATCCGTCTTAATCCAGCTCTCCCCATTCCTGAATCCAGCTCAGCGAAGCGGATGCTAAACCTTCTGATTTGCCAGTGCTATTTCTGAGTTTTCTCCCTTTGGCTACTCTGAGAGGATTTTCTTGTTTGCTTTGAAGGTTAGCGAAGCAGACGGATGGCGAGGAAAGCGACTTCTTTTCCAGCATCTTCCCCATGGGCTGTGATGCTTGCGCTCTCCCTGATGCCACACTTTGCACCTTCACGCTGCTCAATGATGTCTTGATCACCCTTTCCCAAGTCCAAGAGAAGTGGTGCATGAATCTCCACAAACTCCCAGGCCCTGAGGGCCAGGAGAAATTGTCACATCAGCCAGTCAGCCATGTGGACATCACTACCAGCACAAGCAACGATGGCGACATGTCTTTAGCCCACTTCCTCCCAGTGCTGTGCTGTGCATCTGCGCCTGGCGCCAGTGACCATTGGGAGGGGCTTCGCCATTCTGGGGGGTTCGTGCTGGAGGAGCCCCTCTTCAGCCTCCTTTTTGGCGTAGATGCTGCCATGCTGGATTCTCCCATGATCCTCTGTGGCTTCCCCGATGGGCAGTTGTGTTCTGTGCCTTTGAAGGCCCTAAGCTCCCCTGGGGGCCACGGCTGGGAAGACTCGCCTGTCAAGATCCTTCACCATCTGGAGGAGCCGGTGGTCTTCATTGGGGCCCTGAGGACTGAACGGAAATCCCCAGGTGCGGAGGAGCCTCCAGGCTATGGAGGCTTGGGTTGTGACTGTGTGGTGGCTTTGGGACACTATGGTAAAATGGTGGCCATCAAGGCCTCTCAAGGAGAAGAAGTCAAAGTCCCAGAGCTCCGGGAGTATTATCTACAAGGACCAGTTCTGTGTGCAGCCTGCAGCGGGGGAAGCTGCATGTACTACAGCACCCATTCTGACATCTATGCAGTTGACTTGGAGAGCAGCACACCTGAGGCTGAAAAAGTGGAGCCTTCAGCAGGGACCCTTCCTTCAGCTGTGTCTCCTGCCAGCTTGAGTATCTGCAGTGTGGTGGCGCTTTCCTTATCCTCCCGGGAGTCAGAAGGTATTAGATCATCAGAAGAGGTCTATGGTCTGGAACGGTAGAGTAATCCTTGACACGAGACTCTTGTCTGGATGCATCCTATTGAACCTATCAGTACAGGAAGTCCTCAATTTACAACCGGTCACATAGCAACCATTCAAATTTATGACCTTCCCTGAAAAAGGGGACTTATGGCCTGGATTGCAAGTTGCATCCTGCCCCGCCGCATGATTATGAGGCAGCGCTTTGGATATTTGGCAATATGGATGCCTTTATGGCCCTTCGTAGTGTTGTGCAGTCACGTGACCATGCTTTACAATGGTAAAGCATTGTAAAGGGCCAAAAACCAGCCCTTTCAGGTTTTGGCAAAACCATGCCATAGCGAACAAGGGGTTCGCTTGATGACCACAGTGTTCACTTAACAACTGCAGCATTCACACTTATTGCTGTGTTCGTTTAATGACCACTGCAAAAAAACATAAAATTGGGTCGATCACAAATGGTTTTATGACTGTTACGATTTACAACTGTAATGAGAAGGCTCCAATTATGGTTGTAACTGGAGGACTGCCTGCAGTAAATTATGAAGGGAGACAAGACACGAGGAAGTAGTGGTGTGGCCAGAATGTATCGTGATCCAGTCTCCAGTACTGATTCAGATTTGCCCCACTTCTTTTGCTAGGAAAGAATTGGTCCATGATAACAGGTAGTAATCAGCCTATGACCACAACTGAGCCACAAATTTCCATTGCTGAGCAAGACGGCCATTGAGTTTTGCCCCATTTTATGATCTTTCTTGCCACAGTTGTTAAATGAATCCCTGCAGTTGTGAAGTTAGTAATATGGTTGTTAGGTGGCTGTGAAAAGTGTGAAAAACATGTCACTTTTTTCAGGGCCATTGTAACTTCAAATACTAAATGAAGGATTGTAAGTCGAGGCCTATCTGAATTACCTCAGAACAAGCAGGGATCACTTCCAGATAAGTTCAAGAGAAGATTTTCTTTAACGCTGGCCTTTTCTCATGGTTCTTGGGTCCAAAATGGCCTTGAGAGAACCTTTTGCCCCTAGGTTGCCAGAGCAGCAACTAAGTGTTTTGCTGCATCGGGCTTGTGAGGTAGCCACATCAAAGAAGAAAGTTGTGTGCGCCTGTGTTCCAGCAATCCCTGAGATGCAGACCTTAGTCAGAAGACAGATCCCTGGTCGATCCATCCTTCAGCTTGTGGTATTGCTGAGTGACCTTGGCAGTCTTTTTAAGATTTTGTCCAAGATTGGGCAATGTTTGTGTCCAAGGCTGCCTTCAGCAGCTTCCACAGCAAAATGCAGTGGCACCAAACTGAGGTCTTCTTGGCAATAAGGTCATCATGCAAATGCTGCCATTGTATAATTATGTCCTGATGTCTGACACAGTAGGTAAATTGCAGCAGTGGAGAGAAGTTATCAGTACCAATGTGTGGTCATTTACCACCACCCCCCCGACACTCATTTGGTGATAGCTACAGCTCCTGATCATATAAAGTGGGTGATTACAGATAGTCCTCGACTTACGACCACAATGGAATCCAGGACAGTTGTTGGACAGCCTTTTTTGCCACAGTAGTTAAACGAATCACTGCAGTTATTAGGTGAATTATATTGTTGTTAAGTGAATCCCCATTGACTCTGCTTGTTGGAAGCCAGCTGGGAAGTTTACAAATGGTGATTACATAACTGGGACAGTGCAGTTGTCATAAATACATTAGTTGCCAAATGATCAAATTTTGATCACATGACCATAGGGGATGCTACCATGGTCATAAGGGACATAAATCCCTTTTTTTCAGTGCCGTTGTAACTTTGAACGGTCACAGTGCGAATGGTTGTAAGTCGAAGACTACCTTTATGTTGTTTACACAAATAAGATTCTCCAGTTTTTCCTCCTCTTAGAGGAGTAGAAGTTCTCAAAGTTTTCTCTTTTTTCCTTTTTGATGATGATAACACTCTTCCAAGTCTTAGAGATAGTGCACGTCCAGCATATTGCCCATGGATGTCAATGTGCCTGTGGACACATTGTTGGCCTTCCTATTCTTCATGAGCTTTTCATTTTTTAATAAACAAATAGGGATTAATGGAAAACTATTTTAGGGTTTTTTTTTTTAAGGGAAGCTGGCATGCTATAATGCAGTGGTTCTCAACCTGTGGGTCGGGACCCCATTTGGGGTCGATCGACCATTTCACGGGGGTCGCCAAGCAAGGCTGTCCGCCATTTTTTTTGTCTGCCATTTTTTTTGTCCGCCATTTTTCCCCCTTTTCCGGTGGGTGCCTTACCTCCCTTGGGCTGGGCCAGCTTGTGGTCGGCCTGCTTGGTCTCTGCTGCTTGCCAGCTACGCCTCGGCCGGCGCAGGGGGCGGAACCACGCATGCGTGGCGCTCCCAGGTAGGGAAAGTCCTCAACTTACGATTGGTTGGGTAGTCCTCGACTTACGACCGGTTTAGTCCTCGACTTACGACCGGTTTAGTCCTCAACTTACAACCGGTTTAGTCCTTAACTTACGACTGGTTGGGGTCGCAGCATTAAAAAGGTTGAGAACCACTGCTATAATGTGATGTCATAGGCTCCAGCACAATAATTTCCAGGAATATGTCCAGGCTCCAAAAGGACTTTTTAAAAAATAAAAGTATATGTGGCTATAACCTCTCATCTAGCTGCCCATAAAAATGACAGAAGTAAGTAAGGGATCGTATAGAGTGCAGTCTGCAGGAGGAAGAGCTGGCATACTGGTAAATTGGTGCTTTGTAACCAGTTAGTTCCCCGTGCAGCTATTTTGTGAATGGGCAGGTTGCCCAATTTGCAAGATGTTCTCTACATTCCAAATCTGCCTGCCCATCATCGACTCAAGGCTTGGCTTCTGTTCTGCTTTTCTGGTGCAGCATTCCACTTCAAAATGGCAGGAAGGCATTCTGTGGTGTTTCAGAAACTCTGATCTGAAGGCAGCAAAACTGAATTCATAAGTAATACAGCTCTGAGGTCTTAGATTGCCTAGCTCTAGACCAGCTAAAAAGTTTGTTTGTTTTATATCCCGGCTTCATTATTTTTATAAACAACTCAAAGTGCAAACATACTTAATGCTCCTTCCTCCTCCCGTTTTCCCCACAACAAACACCCATGAGGTGAATTGAGAAAGAGTCATGAGGTGAATTGGGCTGAGAAAGAGTCACCCAGCTGGTTTTAATAATAATAATAATGATAAAGTTGGAAGTGACCTTGGAGGTCATCTAGTCCAACCCCCTGCTCAAGCAGGAAACCCTATACCATTTTGGATAAATGGCTGTCCAGTTTCTTCTTAAAAACTTCCAGTGTTGGTGCATTCACCGCTTCTGGAGGCAGGTTGTTCCACTGGTTAATTGCTCTAACTGTCAGGAAGTTTCTCCTTAGTTCTAGGTTGCTTCTCTCTTTGGTTAGCTTCCGCCCGTTGCTCCTTGTCCTGCCTTCAGGCGCTTTGGAAAATAGCTTGGCTCCCTCTTCTTTGTGGCAGCCCCTGAGATATTGGAACACTGCTATCATGTCCCCTAAACCAAACCGACTCTTTGTTCCCTTTCTTGCGCTCTACTCCCTCTCTCCTTGTTAAGACCATTTTCTGTAGCTTGTTCATATGATACTTGCTCAATCAGACACGGATGTCTTGATTTGAGGTGAAGGAGTTCAGCCCTTGCAGCTTTAGGGAAAGGCTGTATGGTCATTATATACTGGTGTGATACTTTCTTGATTCGGGCCTTTGCATAGAGAAAAGCTTGAGGCCAGCTCGAATCAACTCAGCCCCTTCAAGAAAACTGCATTTCAAGAGCTCTGCCTCCTTTCAACAAAATGGCTCTGGAATGCTGTCACCTGGGGAGGCTAAGCAGTTCACCCCTTCTTCCTTTCTTGTGCAAAACAGCTGCATTGTGCTTGCTCACCATGCCAGAGGCATACAGATCCTGTATGCAGGAAACAGACTTCCTTTCTAAGCAAGGCTTGGTGGAGGCCATTTGTCTCCCATTTGAACTCAAAGGAGGGGAAGAGGGGGTGAGGCAGCTGCTCTAGCTACCAACGAGGTTTTAGAAAGCAAATGACTTTGCACCCATCCTTCCCATCACCCGGGTATTTGGAGGTATAGTGGAAAGGCCTTGCCTAAAGGTGTTCCACTGTTTCTGCAAAAAAAAAATGGAAATGTTGTAATCTCTGGCTAACGAAGAATAAGCAAGAAAACTGGGAGTGTTTTATTTGTGTGGACAAGTGGTAGTGGTGGTGAAACAGTTTCAGAAAGCAGCAGGGAGGAGATTTAGAATTGTGCAGCATGTGAGAAGCTGGCTCTCTGGCCCACTATAGGCTTTATTTTTAGTGCTGCTTTAATTTCTGAGCTGTTAATAGACTTTTTCTCCTTCAACCTTCTTTACATGCTAATGAGATCTAGCAGCAAGTTTTATTTTAAAAGGCTCTTAACATCCAGGAAGTCCAATTCTCGGTTCAATCCCAGATCTTGTTTTGGGGGTCAGTTATTACTGTACCCCTTCTTTTCCCCAGCAGCTCTTTCTTCAATTTCTGAACCCTAATTCCCTAAGGCCTTGCATCTTAGGATGATATTATTCTATTTGGAAAGGGTCACTGGAAAGTAAAACTAAGCGTTCAACTAGGATAAGTATTCTGGACAGGAACATCCTTGGATATACAGTTGCCTGTGGGTTTTCTGCCTGCCCCTTGCCCCATGTTGTTGCCCTCCCCCCGACTTTCAGAATCACCCCACACTGTGATATTTTGTGGAGAAAGATTCTCTCTCTCTCTCTCTCTCTCTCTCTCTCTCTCTCTCTCCCCCTCCCTCCCTCCCTCTCTAATTTATATCCCGCCTTTATTATTTTTTTAAAAAAAACTCAGTTGGCAAACATATCTAATGCTCTTTCTTCCTTCTATTTTCCACACAACAACAATCCTGTGAGGTGGTCTGGATTGAAAAAGAGTGTCTGGCCCAAGGTCACCCAACTGGCTTTCACGCCTAAAGCTGGACTTGAACTTACAGTTTCCCAGTTTCTATATGAAGTACTGGCCTTTGGAAAGGGCAAGGTGCCTGCCTGGCAGCAAACAGCTGGGATCTTGCTTTTGAGTAAGAAATAGTGAAGAAAGAAGAAGAAGAAACTGCCGCCATCTTTTTCTTCTGCTGCCTTTCTTTTTCATTCTCTAAGCCTCTCCTGGGCCACCAATTTTCTCTACCCCTTGGAGGGGGGGGGGGGGAAGAGAATCTACAATGGCTTTGTTCCCAGCATGAGTGTGGCAGCGACTGAAGTTACTTTCTGTGCACAGAAATTGCTCTTAGCTTTTCCAGGACAGGCTGTGAGATGGTCTCTTCTTGCAGTTCTTCCTTCAGGCCGAGGAGAAGAGTTATCCATAGCTTAATACTCAGGCAGCCCAAATTCAGGCTGGATGTACAAACAAACCAATATGCCACTGCTCCTATACTTACAACATAGCCAATACACTTTTTATTTCCCATTACCTCTTTAATTCTCCTGTGATCTTCTTTGCTCCTGTTCGACTTCCTCCCGCCAGTGCAAAATATTTTCTATCCTCAGTCTCCTTTCCAACTTATTTTTTATCTTTTTCCTGTATAGGTGGGCACATTTCCAGATAAAACACTGTGCTGCAGCCACCTGCCGTTTTATTGTAATAAATGTGGTTTGGAGTTGTGGTTTAATTGGCAACGTGCCTGCTTCTCTTCTCTCTTTTGTAAAAAGGAAAGATTCTTTTGAATATCTGGTGTGACAGGGATATTGAGGGGCATGTGCACAGGCAGAGACAGTGGTATTGCAGTTGTTTCTTCCGTCATGAAAGCTCTCTTGCAAATGCTGGTTAGATTGCCCATCTCTTCCCTCTCTAGGGTCCTGTAACTACAACCCCAGAATTCCAAACCAGCATAGTTGTTCCAGAGCTTTTATAGTCAGATGGTTCTGCTGTTAGTTGCGAAGTCGTGTCCGACCCATCGCAACCCCATGGACAACGTTCCTCCAGGCCTTCCTGTCCTCTACCATCTTCTGGAGTCCATTTAAGCTCATGCCTACTGCTTCAGTGACTCCATCCAGCCATCCCCTTCTTCTATTGCCCTCAATCTTTCAGATGATTTTAGGACAGTATTTTTCAAACTTGGCAGTTTTAAATGTGTGGACTTCAACTCCCAGAATTCCTCAGCCAGCATGTTTGCCTGTTTGGAAATTTTTTTTTTTGTTTGAATATTGTGTGGGGACGTACACATCCCTCAGGGTTTGAACATTTATTTACAAGTAGTTCTCGACTTACAACCACAATTGAGCTCAGAATTCCTCTTGCTAAGTAAGACAGCCGTTGAGTTTTGCCCCATTCTACGACTTTTCTTGCTACCCTTTGTTAAGTGAATCACTGTAGTTCTTAAGTTAGTTGCACAGTTAGGTGAATCTGGCCTTTCCATTCACTTTGCTTGTCAGAGGATCGCAAAAGGTGATCACATGACCCTGGGACACTGCAATGGTCATAAATATCCAATTTTAATCACATGACCATGAGGATGCTGCAATAGTCGTAAGTGTGAAAAATGGCCATAAATCACTTTGCCAAGGCCATTGTAACTTCTAACGGTCACTAAATATATGGTTGTAAGATGAGGATTATTTGTATTTATCCTACCTTTATTACTTTATAAGTAACTCAGGGCATATATAATACTCCATCCTCTTATTTTTCCCACAACAACCACCCTATGAGGTAGGTTGGGCTGAGAGAGACTGACTGGCCCAAGGTCACGTAGCTGGCTTTCGTGCCTAAGACGGAACTAGAACTTACAGTCTCCTGGTTTCTAGGCCAGCGCCTTAACCATTACACTAGACTACAAGAATACAAGGAGTACACAGGTTTTAAAAGCAGATTTGGCCTTTGTGTGACATTTATTTATTACATTTCTATGTCACCCATCTCCCCTACAAAGTGACGCTTGTAAGGGAGATGTGAGAGATTCTGCTCCAAAAGGTAGTAGGTGGATCAGGACAAAAACTGAAACTGACTTGATTTACTTTTGAATTAATTTAAAATTAAATTTTATACAATTATCCTCCCACTGAGTAATCATTTTCTCCTCCAGTGACACTAAACATGGTAATATGGGAGCCATTTTGGAGGTCCTTGGTGAAGGCTCTTTAGAGCTCTATGTAACCTTCACAATTCCAAATTCTGTTTCTCTGATCTGTTGCTGGGGAGGCAGATTGAAATCTTCCCCATGGTGTTAACTCTCTCCTCTGCTTGTCTCCTCTTCTACGTTGCTACCATGCTCAGGAGAATCTGAACTTCTGGCTCTCTCCGCCAAAGGCCGTCTCATGACGTGTGGCTTGTGCAGCCCAGATGATACACAGCCACTCAAGATGAACGCTGACAAAGCTGGGCAGAGGATCAAAGAGCTGCTGTCTGGGATAGGCCATGTCTCCGAAAGGTAAGAGCTGACCTCTCTATGAATAGCATCCCTACATGTAGAGTACAAATTTGGCACTTTTACGTGGGTGGCTTGGGAAACTCACCAGGAAGCATTTGCTAATGCTACCTGGATTGTCCTGCCTGAGCAGCTTTTTCTTGCACAAGGATTTGATGCTAAACTCTGCAGTGGGATGGAAGGGCGAGCCGCGGCATGCTCTATCAATGGGCAAGGCAGGAGACATGGCAGCAGTGGCTTGATGGGTGAAGGTAACAGCTATGCAGGAGATGCTGTTTGAGGTGGCAGTGGAACCAGAAGAAGCGAAGGAATAAGGGCTCCTAGAAGAGCAGTACATGCTTTGCGGCTCCCATTGGAAGCTCTCCTCGAGAACTGGCCTGCAGGCTTCGGCGAGGGAGGGAGGTGAGCCCAGTGCCAACGTAGCCTACTTGCAGGCCCTCTGGTCACTTGGCTGAGCCTTCATACAGGGCCAGCAGTTTCCAACATGTTCTGACATACAGGTTTTTCCATTGCTTATCTGTCTTTTGCATAGGGATTTCTTAGGCAGTTTTTGCCATCAGTATTATTCAGTGTTTCTTTCTCTTCTGATACCTGCAGAGTGTCCTCCCTAAAAAAAGCCGTGGACCAAAAAAACCAAGCTTTGACCTGCCTGAACCAAGTGATGAACGTGAGCGCAGCTTTGCTGTCAAGCCAGAATGGTCCGAAGCCCATCACGTGCACCATCGCGGCCCACTGGAGCCATATGCTGGTTCAGGACACCTTGACAATCTCCTGCATCTTGGAAAACTCAAGTGAATGCAGCCTGGAGCGTGGCTGGACCTTCTGTGTCCAGCTGTTTGCCAACTCCTGTGACTTTGAGGAAACCACTTCAGATTCTGCCACCACTTATACCTTCCCTATTGATCAGCTTCTTCCAGGGAACAAGACAGAGGTGACCCTTCCAGTCAGCCCTGCCGAAGGCTCCAAACTAAATCTGCCTTTCACAGTCTCCTGCTCGCTCTACTACAGTTTGCAGGAGATCTTAGGCACTGTTTCTGAGTCCACTGAGCTTCTGGATGACCTCTTTTCAGACGATTCCCCTGGCCTTTCTCTGGACAGACAAGGCATCTGCCTGCCCTTGAGGGAAGACATCATTGATCTCCTGCAGTGCCTTCGCTTGAATGACAAGGGAATGTCTGAAGCTAGCCCACCTGCTGTGGCCATTTCTGTCCCTGGGGATCCAGTTGAAACCTTCTTGAAATCTCTCAAGAGCATGGAAGAGAATGATGAGCCAGTCCCAAAGGGACGGAGTGTCATTGATGAAAATTACTTGGCTCCAACTGTAGCTTCAATCAAGGTATCCTCTGAACTGCTGAGAGCGTCCTTGAAGGACTTCTGTGCAGGTGCGTGTTACCTGTGAATGCTTTTTAAACCTCCTGTCTTGTGTCCTCTCCTTGCCCTTCATTAGGTTTAGCGCCTCCAAGGCCCACCTGCATTGATAGCTCCCATGGTCTCTTTGCCCTGAAAAGAACAATGTCTTTTATTTGCAAGGCAGCTGTTGTGAGAGGCTTGGGAGCTCTCGCTTGTCAATGGACCGGTTAATCATGTTCTTGGCCAACTTATGTGGTGATATAACTTCCTGTAATTTTGTTTTGTTTTTTCACACATACAGCACAATTCTAAAAGAAAGGTTGGGGCTCTATGGCTCTGCAGATGTTGCTACACAACCAGCCAACATGGCAGTGACGAGGGATGCTGGGAATCGCAGTTCTGTAACATCTGCAAGGTCCAGGTTTCCCACCGCTGTCCTCCAGAATCCTTTCCAGAATCAGAGAATGTCAAACTAGTAGACCAGAAGCCAGCAATAGCCATCTTTGGGTTTTAATGAGTTTTCCACCATCAAAAAGCCTGCAAATGACTCCCAAACCCTTTGGGTTAGCAAGGGGCAATGTTGCAGCCAAACCAGTGATAGAAGCTGGATAATCTTCCTCTTGGCAATTAAAAATAATGCAAGTAGTGCACTGTGTCCATGAGCAAATCCTCGTTTACGGCTAATCCTGAGAATTAATTTCAGCCCAGACTAGAGTGGATACTTTGCCCAAGGCAAGCAATAAATAATAAGGATACTCAAATTCTTACATTTATGTGAAGTTGGGTATAAATTGGCACAATTTTTCTCAACACGGTAGTTAGTGTTGCAGGAAGGAAGATGTCAAGATTTGGAATATCTTGCACGGATGGCAAGCAGTGATAGACTGGGATTGCAGATATTTCCTTTGTCCATCTCACTAGAACAGAGAGCTAACAAACCTATCAGTAGTCCAGGTTTTTAGATCTGTGTGTTTAAACATATATAAAAAATTTGGAGACTGCCCATCTCACTCATAGAGAACTGGGGGGGCTACAATTAAAATTATTATGTATCTTTTTCTAAAACGTCCACTGGGATTCTTTTATTTATACCATCGTGACCTCAGATTCCTAAAGGTGGGCCCTTACATTCAACAGGATATTAGACAATCATTTCAGCCTAACATCTTTATTATGAAGCTACATATGTCCTAGGCTTATATCTATGAAGATTCTCAGTCATCCAGGTCTGTTGTCGGTTGTCCCAAAGGTGTTTTTTTTCAAAAGGCAACTGGACTTTGTATTTCCTTGAAGACCTTTCACTTCTCATCCAAGAAGCTTCTTCAGTTCTGACTGAAGGGTGGAGGATGGAAGGATTCATATCCCTTGTAGTCATCTGGTCATTAGCACTCTTTCCAAGAGTGGAACACCCATTTGCACTATTCAAGTGACCCTGAGGGCACAGCTAAACCTCCAAGTGGCCTCAACGACTCTTAGAAAGAGTGCTAACCCTTCGAATGCAAGGAATACAAATCCTTCCATCTTCCACTATTCAGTCAGAACTGAAGAAGCTTCTTGGATAAGAAGCGAAATGTCTTCAAGGAAAAACAAAGTGCAGTTGGCTTTCGAAAAACGCCTCCTAGACTTATACACTCTAAGTACGTTTCAAAAGCCAGTGGGAGAATCGGGGAAATGTCAGTCAGGGATTCCCCCAGGGATCCTCAGGCTTTTCAGGTAAGAGAGATTGCCCTTCTTCCCTTCTTTTGTTTTCTTTGCTTAGACGTGTCGCTGTGCTGCGCTGTGCTGCGATGGTTGCTGGCTGAAAATGGCGAAGCAGATGCCCTTCGGAGCCAGGAGGTGGCAGTCATGCAAGGGTTGGCCCCCGATGGAGGCAAAGTGCAGCTGAACATCGGAGAGGCAAGGCAGGAGTTGTAACTGGGCCGTGAAACTTTGACTTTGGGTTTTGCCGATTAAGATAGGCTTGTTGTTATAGAAACGGCTAATTAGATTTAGGCACCATCAGATTCCACACTGACTCTGGGCCACTGTCAGTATAACAAAAGAAGATAAAAGCACAATATCAAATAGATAATTGAAGTGAGATCTTCAGTATAAACACATGTAGAAAACATAGCCAATAAACCGTAGAGCACAGCCAGGTCTTCAAGACTTCTAGAATTGCTTCAGGGTGGAAACCACACAGATCTCAGAGGTTCTGACAGAATGAAGAAAGGTGATGGGTTCTCCTTCATGGATATATTGATGAGGAAACTTCACAGTCATCTCCCAGGGATGCTTTAATTTGGATTCCTACACTAGCTAGGGAATTTGACTCATGGCCTAAGTGGGCTGCCCAAAATCTATGATTCCAGGAAGATGGAAAGTAGTCAGGTTTGACTTGTTAATCTCCCACCATTGGTGGAAACAATTAATCATTGTTAATCGTTAACATTTCTATGAATTGCTGGCTGTGTACTCCAACCATAGCTGGTTAATTCTTACAAGAGAGAGTTAGGCCAGCTAAGCCTGGACGATGACCAGATTCTTCTGGATTGGCGTACATAAGTATAATACCATTGTGTTTAGTGCGGTTCCTCCTGCCCCAGCTGAGGGAAGATGCATTTCATTGGAGGACAATCAAGCTGTCTCATTTCATTTGACTGCAAGGGTTCTTCTCCCAAAAATTAAACTGACCCCCTTGGAAGAGCAGGACATGTGATGTGCAAAACATATGTCCTAAATATTAGAATAATGTTAATATATTCAGAAATGGGAGGAGGATATGAATCTGATACTACCTTGAGGTTCTGGGAATTATCAGGGTAAAACAGATTCTGTCCAGCTGGAGGGGAAAGGCAGTAGATTTCTTCAATAGGCCCAGGAAGGATTTTGATTCTTTGTTTAGGAACTTCTTGTATGTGAGAAGGAATTTTGGCTTAATGTCTGTCTAGAAGGCCTGCATTTCACTTCAGTTTTTCTCCACTATAAAAGTGTGTTAGTTTTTGTGTTAGCCATATTCTTATTCTTGAACTAGAATCTGAATTTGGTAGCTCTGAGTTGTATGTGTGATTGATCCTGGTTAGGGCACGGTCTTCCCAGTTTTAACTGAGTGAAGATTTAAACTGTTTTCTCTTCAGTAGTTTGAATATATTGGAGCATGCAGATTTTTCATTGTTGCTAGAGAAGAAATAGAGACAATGGCACTGCAGTTGTATTCATCGGGCCAGTTTCTTTCCATCTAGACCAGACATGTCAAACACAAGGCCCGGGGGCCGGATGTGGCCCACGAAGTTGTTTCATGTGGCCTGCGAAGCCATCCTGGAAACAGTGAGGGAACGGCCCCCACTGCCTTGGCCCCGGCCCAGGCCGGCCGGGAGCCAATGTACAATTTTGTGGTGGCCATCTATGCTGAAATGCGTTCAGTCTTAGCTCCGCAAGGCTGTCTGAAAACAGCAAGGGACCGGCCCCTGCCGCGTTGGCCCTGCCCCCTGGGTGCATGCTGGGGAGGTGTCACCCTTTGTGAGGAATGAAGAAATGGACCATGCCTTGGCGCTTGCCCCGGTCCCATCCCTTCTGCCAGAGACCTTCAGATCTGTCCCACTCCTGCCCAGGCCCCCACAGGCACCCTTGACGTGAACGATGTAGAGCTGGCCACACCCACCCAGTAGACCACACCCACTCCATCCACACTCACCCAGTAGGCCGCACCCACCCTGGCCGCACCCACCTGGCCCCCCCAAGGGCAACCGCAATGCTGATGCGGCCCTCAATGAAATTGGGTTTGACACCCCTGATCTAGACGGTGGGTTGTACGTAAAGCTTGAAATATAGGTAGTCCTCGACTTACGATCACAATTAAGCCCAAAATTTCTGCTGGTAAGAGAGACAATTGCTAAGTGAATGTTGCCCCATTTTACAACCTTTCTTCCCACAGTTGCTAAGTGAATCACTGTAGTTGTTAAGTTAGTAACACGGTTGTTAAGTGAATCTGGCTTCCTCATTGACTTTGCTTGTCAGAAAGTCACGAAAGGGGATCACATGATCCCCGGGGACACTGCGGCCCTCATATATATGAGTCAGTTGCCAAGCGTCCGAATTTTGATCACGTGACCATGGGGATGCTGCAGTGGTTGTAAGTGCGAAAAACAGTCGTAAGTCACTTTTTTCAGTGTCGTAATTTTAGATATTCAGATATTCATTAAACTAGGGGTAGGCAACCTTGGCTCTTTTCTGACTCGTGGACTTCAATTCCCAGAATTCCTGAGCCAGCATGGCTGGCTCAGGAATTCTGGGAGTTGAAGTCCACGAGTCAGAAAAGAGCCAAGGTTGCCTACCCCTGCCTAAGGCGAACTGTGTTCCATTCTAAATTTTGCTACCGGTCAAACCGCATGCTAACAGGCTGAAGCGCAATGTCGCCTTTTCGGTGAACTGGAAAAACCACTTTGGGAGGAGTCCCTTGACTCTCCTTTCACTCCAGTGACGTGCTCTCCAAGCTTTCTACCTTAGCTTAAATTGGGGGCATAAATCATATAAATAAGTAAATTTGGGAAAAGGGATATTGTGCTTCCAGACGAAATAGCTCAGAACGTGGAAGAAATGTACATAATAGTTAACATCCTTAAAAGGCTGTTCAGCCTTCAGTGCTCTTACATAAGATGCAACCTTACTCTCTTCCTCTCTCTTTTTCCTCTCTGAGTGTCAGCGGTGTGGAACAGAGACTACTTACCCTTGCAAAATGAAAGGCTTTGTTTTTTGTTTTAAAAAAAAAAAGATGATTGACACTTTCTTACTTTGCTTTCTCAGTTTCGCCGCTCAGTGAAACTGGTGGCAGTGACATTCTTGTTTCCCCCCCAGGTGACAGTCAGTGACCTGAGCCCAGCAGGTCCTATCCAAGCTGTGGAGATTGTCATCCAGGGGTCTCCACTGGCAAACATGTGTCAGCTGCATCATGCTGTGGTTCGGCGCATTCAGGTATGTGCTGTGGCAGAGTGAAGGAAGGCGGGATGTTTGCCTATCATATCCCGACAACTTTGGTTGCACAAACAAGAGAAGAGATTTAGGTTGAAATCCAGCAAGAGTGGGGCTGCGTGGTATTTTTCCTGTTGTCCCGCCCAAAATTCTGGGCTGATCTATGGAACAGTCTTGTAGCCACATGGACTTCCTCTCTCTTAAGAAAGGGAATGGATATTCCATTGTCCTCATGCTAAGAAGCAAAGGCTGTTGAGGGTTTTCTCCCATCGTCCGCCCAGAGTTACCTTGCGGAGGAGATGGCAGCACAAAAAATCAATCAAACAAATTTTAAAAATCGTGTCGGTTGTCAAGGGAACAAAAGCAGGTCGGTTATTTTTATGAAGGCCTCTATACCGCTGTGACTGCATTATGGGTTCTTAATGTGAAATATACTCCTCTTTACAAATCCTGCCTTTTGGGAATGATAAAGAAAATATATACTTTGACGCATCATTTGGGTTTCCTTAAGTCTTCATAGGTGGGAGGTGGGAATGACAGTATATCCTAAAGCGAAGGAGAGTAGGAAACCCAGAGGTGCTGGGCCCAATCCTTTAGGACAAGGGTCTCCAACCTTTCTGGGTTTTGCGGCCCGGTGGGAGAGGGAGGGGCAGGCGCCTTACACGCGCATGAGCAAATGCGTGCACACAAACAGGCTGCAATCATGCGCACCACACAAACGGCTGCGAGCATGCGCATGAGGCTCTCAGCGATGACAACGCCTGTGTGAGGTTTGTGGTGCCGCCACTGTCAGGCTCGCGGCAATGCCACCACCGGCATGATTGTGCCACCGTCCTGCGCTAGGCTCGCACCATAGCCCGCCTGATTGCTTCTTGCGCAAGGTTCGTGGCAATGCCGCCACCTACGTGTGGCACGCCACCACCCAACTGCCACTCACGGTGCTCCCACCGCCTGTGCGATACTAGTGGCGCTGCTGCTGTCCACACACTTGTGGCAACGATGGCACAAGGGGGGGAGCACGCACACACATGCCCATGCACTGCCCAGCTACTCACATGGCCCGGTGGCCGGGAGGCCACGGCCCATTAGTGGGCTGCAGCCCATAGGTTGGGGACTTCTGCTTTAGGAGTTTGTTAGGCCATCATCACTTCACATTTGAAAAGCACAGGGGGTCAGATTTGAAGACCTAGTCGGATTTCTCACCTTGCCCTGATATTTATTTTCTTGATTTCACTCATTTATACACTCTGCTCAATAATCAATGAGTAATAACAGAATGAATAAATAACAATTAGGACCAATAGTATTATAGCATTACAACATCAGGACAGCGAACTAAAAATGCTTAAATATACATAAAAGATAAATGGTGTCAGAAGTAAAGCAGGGCTACTAGGAAGAAAGATAGAAAAGAAGGCTATGTTTCAATTTTTTTCTCAAAGCATGACAAAGAAGAAGCCAGCTGGACCAATTTGGGGAGGAAATTCCAGGGTGTTGACAACACCACCAAGGACTGTAGATGCTTTCCCTATTTAATTCCAGGCAGGGTTCCTTTTGGGGTAACACACAAACAAGGCCCTTGTCTGCAGAGTATAGAGCCTGGGTGGGACCATATGGAAGAAACCATTGCTTCAAACAGGAGGGGTTTAATCAGTCCTTTGTCTTTTGATTAACACAGACTCTGATTTTGGAACCAGCTGCCCAGGAGTCTTCTCCCCCGGATGTCCGAGTGCAGTATCTCCACCAGATCCAAGCCAACCATGAGGTAAGCAGCTACCCAGACTCAAGGCACTGGAGGAATCACGTGTGCATTGCACACTTGTTTCCAGCTGGCTGTGGGAGAACTTCAACTACCTGCCTTTGGCTGAGCTCTGTAATTTCAGAATACAGGTCGTCCTTGTTTAACAACTCCTACTGGGCCTGAAATTTCTGTCACTGAGCTAAGCAATCATTAGGTGAAACTTCATATGATCATACTGCTTAGCGACGGCAGTTCCAGTAGTCCTGGTTGTTAAGCAAGGACCAGGCATGTCATTAGTAGAGGGCCTCACACTTTTCCTGCCCTCCTGGTTCACCTCTACTTCAACACCCCTATCATCTATCTATCTGTCTGTCTGTCTGTCTGTCTACCCACCCACCCACCCACCCACCTACCTACCTACCTACCTACCTACCTATCTCACCTCCATCTCTGCCCTTTCGGCGAGGCACTGGAGGAAGAAGATCAGAGGGAAGGGCGGCAGGGGTAGGTGGCAAGGGCGGAGTGCAGGGCAGCCAAAAGAGCAGAGATTGGGGGGACAGGAAATAGGAGAGTGTGGAGAGTTGAAGTGCACACTGAGGTTGTAAATGTGGGCAGGCTGCCAAATGTCTGAATTTTGATCATGTGATTGTGGGGAGAGGGAGATTATGACAGCTACAAATTCAAGGACTGGGTGTAACTACCATTTGTTCATTTGTTCAACTTCATCTTAACTTTGCATGATTGCTAAATGAATGGCCAATAAGCAAGGACTTCCACACTTGTTTTTAGCCACTCCATTGCAATTGGAGAGGCTGAACCATCCTAGTTTCAGAATCTGGCTTGACAGAAGCAATGGGGGAATGAGTTTACGGCTTATTCCGTAGTTGTTGTCTGCCTCACCCAGTCTGAAATCATCTGTGTTCGTTCTGTTTATGTGTTCCGTAATTTGATTAGTGATACCATTCTTTCCTTCCCTGCCTTAGCCCAGAGCTAAAAGCAGACATTCATATAAAGCATGCCCTGTGATTTCACAATGGAGCCTTTTATGCAACTGAGGATTTCACTGAGGGTTGGGTTTTGTCTTGTAACTTTTCTCCCTATCCCCAATCGTGGAAATACACATTGCCTAACCTGGTTTTATATAGAGCAAGTGAATAGCCCTGCTCCCTCAGGACAAGGTGCATATTAATCCAGCACTATGTTTCCCACAGCAGCCAGTAAGATACCTCTGGAATGCTCACAGGCATGAGACAGGGATACAATGATATCCTGCCATTTCATATAGCAGTGGTTCTCAACCTTTTTAATGCCGCGACCCCAACCGGTCGTAAGTCGAGGACTAAACTGGTCGTAAGTCGAGGACTAAACCAGTCGTAAGTCGAGGACTACCCAACCGGTCGTAAGTCGAGGACTTTCCCTGCCCGGGAGCGCCGCGCATGCGTGGTTCTGCCCCCTGCGCCGGCCGAGGCGTAGCTGGCAAGCAGCAGAGACTGAGCAGGCCGACCACCAGCTGGCCCAGCTCAAGGGAGGTAAGGCACCCACCGGAAAAGGGGGAAAAATGGCGGACAAAAAAATGGCGGACAAAAAAAATGGCGGACAGCCTTGCTTGGCGACCCCCATGAAATGGTCGATCGACCCCAAATGGGGTCCCGACCCACCGGTTGAGAACCACTGTCATATAGGCATAATACCATTTTTATCTATGTGCAAGCTCAAAAGATTTACATCTTGCTAAAGATAGTCATTTAGAGGTAGTCCTTGATTTATGACTATGATTCAGACTGGGGACCTCCGCCCCCCCATCACTAAATGAGGAGGTCATTACATGACTCACACCCAATTTTACAAGCTTTTTGTTGTGGTCATTAAGCAAATCACATGGTCATTAAGCAAACCCAGATTCCTGCATTGGCTTTGCTTGTCAGAAGATGACTGTGAAGGTTGAAAGGGTGAGGGGGCTGCAGCCATTGTAAATACATGCTGGTTGTCAAGTGCCTGAATTTTGAGTGCGAGGACTGCTCATAAATCACTTTTTCCACTGCTGCCATAACTTCGAATGGTCACTAAATGAACGGTTGTAAGTTGGGGACTCCCTGTAATTTGTCCTCACAACAACAGTAGCGAGGTTGATTGGGCTGAGAGACAGTGACTGACTGGATTAAAATTCCTCTGCAGTTGATGTTTTGAGGCCTGCTTCCCCCACTATCTATTCTTTGGAATCTAACGGCCTTAGATCTGTCCTCTGATCAATTTATCTTCTCTCGTTACAGACTGCCAGTCAGTGAACCTCACCACATCTTGTAATAGATTTCACAGATTATGTGAATAACACATTCATTCTGAGCCACCTGTGTGTAGCCACCGAGTTAATTTCTGTCCAGGCCATCGAATTTTAGCAGCAGATTTTAGAATCTGAATGTTCTCAGCTTAAACATATTCTTAACTGTTTTACTATAAATAAATTAATATTTTTCCAGAAAAGCTGGAGGGAGAGGAAGAGAAATCCAGCAAATAACATCCTCCCCCAGTATAAAATGATAAGGGGGATACTTTGAAACCTCACCGCCACAGCTGCCAAGAGTCCCCATCAAGACACCTCTGTTATAGTCTGCTTACTCTCCTGCTTTGTCCAACTGGAGGGTTTTTTGCCTTCTGTTTGGGAGAGATCCTTTCAGCCAGAAAGCTCCAGAAAAAAAATAGAAAAAAGGTGCTTTGGATCTTCCTGTAGGAAGACCAGAAACCCTGACCGTAACGAACTCTGCCAATCCAGAATCACAGAATAGCTGCAGGATGACGCCGTCTTGTGCAGGGAGAAAGATTTAATGGTAAATCCCCTGATTTGAATTCAATACGTAGATACAGTCCTTGCTTAACTGTCACAATTGGAAGTCACAGTGACTCCATCACTAAGCAATGATGTTATTAAGGGAGACATCACGTGACCACGATTTTTATTTTTATTTTTATTGCTGGCCTCTCCGTCGACTCTGCTTGTGGGAAGCCAGCCGTGAAGCGCTTGAATGTGATCACATCACAAGATGATTTGACGGTTGCGTGACTGAGGACCAGTCATATTTTTTAAGCACCCTCGTAATGTTTAATGGTCACTAAATGGGGCAGTTGTTAAGTGAGGACCATCTGTATTATGTATCAGTCTATATCGCCAGATTCTAGGTAGTGTATACAAAACAAAAAAGCAACCTGTATAAGAAAACAGTATAATCCTCCCCTCCAAAACAAGAAAGACTAATACTCTCCCACCAAAACCTATAAAAGAAGAAAAAGTGGCAGACCAGCCACCATTAGGTTTTGATAGCCAGCCTGCTGGAAATTGTTTTCACAGCTTTGCAAAATATTAGCACCAAACGGGCCAGTTCGACCTTTGGAGGTGGCACGTTGCCGAATGAGCAGGATATATCAGGAAAGACCTGTGGTGGGGCTGACAGACTTTGAGCGAGCCCTCATTAGATGACAGGACAAGCAGGAACATCTTGGAGACCAGAGTCCCTGTTGAGCGTAGAAAAAGGCCATAGGTTTTATAGGTAGCCAACAGAATGCCTGAAGAATAGGAACTGCATTGTAACTTCCAAGGTGTCTTCAAAGGCAGCCCCAAATAAAGTGCATTGCAGACGTCTGGCTACATGGGAAGGAGGGCTTCGAAAGCCATGTTCTTTAGTTGGGCATGAGCCTGCCGGCAAAGGCAACCATTTTGGGTTGGCTTGTTGATCAACCACTGTTCTAATCAAGGAGAGAAGCAACCTAGAACTAAGGAGAAATTTCCAGACAATTATTCAGAACAATTAATCAGGGGAAGGATTTGCCTCCAGAAGTTATGGAGGCTCCAACGCTGGAGGTTTTTAAGAAGAGATTGGACAACCGTTTGTCAGAAATGGTATAGGGCTTCCTGCCTGAGCAGGGGGGGGGGGGGTTGGGCTAACAAGACCTCCGAGGGTCCCTTCCAACTCTGTTATTCTGTTCTGTTAGATGCTGCTAAAGGAAGCCCGGTCCCTCCGGGATAACTTGTGTCTGGGGAATGATTTGGATGCAACGGTGGAGAAGCTTCTTCATATTTACCAGCAGCTACGCAACCCCAACCTGGTGGTCCTGTGATTGTCAAGGAGCGGCACCCCTTGGAGGATCCCACTGCCGCCTCTACCCAGAGCTGATGGATGAAGGGAGCAGCAGCAGGCTGTGCACTTTCCGGATGGGAGGCTGAAGCAGAGGCATGGCAGAGGAGGGGTGGAGGATCCCAACGGGCAGACCCTGGCTCCTCTGGAAACTGAAGGACCAGGGGCCAAGCTTTCTCCTGCAATCCCCAGTCCTCTTCTCTTTGAACACAACTAGCTCCCCCACCCACCCGCCCTCCCTAGGGTCCATATTTTTGCCCGCCCCTGGAACAGGCACCTGGTTGCATTGTGACGCTCACACGCAGGCAGGTGGCCCGCTCCTTGTGTGCACGTGTGTGCGGAGATGCCCAGGTGCATGTATGTCATTTGGATGGCTAGTAAGACGCTCTCGTGGCTGGGGATGGTGTGTTGTGGATTGCCCTCAATGTCTGTCGTTAGTTTAGCTTTTCTCGCTTTTGGTGGCACTTAAACGTCGTCGCTGTGGCAGGCAAGTCTGGTGAGTTGTCGGTGGGGAAGGGAGGGAGAGATTTCGTTCGAAACACGATGCCTTTTGGTTCATTCCGAGCAGCAGCAGCCGCCGCCGCCACCACCACCACCAAAGGGCTACGCTTCTAGCTGTGTCACATTTTTCAGAAAACACTGTGGAAAAACAGGCTAGTCACATACATATAGGTAACTCAGGGGGTGCTCTTAGTACGGCATCCCTTTTTGTAATGGGACATTTTGCTCCTTTTTCCAAGATGTTTCCTTTCTATAAACTACTTTGCTTGTCAATTTCCAAGGCGGAGACTCCTGCCGAGTTGTGTACATGTGTGTGTGTTCTAACCCTTCTTTGCTACCCGAGGGACTCGTATTGATGGGAAAACGTCCGGCATTTTGTCAAGCTGTTAACTCCTGGAATAGCCCTCCCCTTGCTGGGAAGTCCAGTCGCCCTCCCCTCCTCTCCCCTCCCCTCCTCCTGGCAGCAGCTTGGGGGGCTTTTGCCTGCTGTCTCCCTGCTCAGCTAATGCAGCATCTGTTTTAAAAGCTGCCACCTCCTGATGAATAATTGAAAAGCCACACCACCGGCACTCACTGGCCGGCACTAAAGGCCATTAGGAAACAGGCCACGGCTCAGGGGTGAAGGCTGCCGGTGCACTTTCCTCTTGTCCAATCTGGAATAATTGATGTCATGGCTGCCCTCCGCCCTCCGGCGAGAGAATCCTCACCTTGAATCCTGGGGCTCTTTCGAGGCAGATGGGGGCTGCCCTCCCTTCCCCATGTGGCCCTTTCCCTTGTAGTTACCAGGTCAGCCTGAAAATTTTAAAGGGGGAGAGAGAGCTGCTACTATCCAGGGGGGGAGATGCCTGCTTTGTGCTTAGGGGCTGTCTGCAGCCCTGTTTCTTGAATCTTTGGATGCCCCTCGCCTGACCTTTCTTTCCCCAATAGAGGCCAGGGTTGGGCTGTCCAAAGAGCAGCAGCTGAAGCTTCCTATAGGGAGCCCCATTTTTTTTTTACGGAAGCTGCAGTTTCCCCCCTGCTTACCTAGCCGCGTCAGGCTCCATAAACACACTCACACGCGTCTGTGTAATTAACCTTCCAAAATGAAGGTTAAGTGAACCTTTGCTGTTCAAGGCTTGGGAATAGATACTGAGCGAGAGAGGGGGAGATGCCACTGTTTCCCCAACCTGCCTTTTCTAATTTCTCTTAATATATTGGAATTCAGTGGGAAGCCGCTGCTCCTCCTTCACCAGGGGCACTTGTGGGGGGGGGGGTGGAGGGGAGCAGGCAGGTCAGCTGTGTCTGAGTGGGAAAAGCAGGGAATCAAATAAGAGAACGGTCCCAGCACCGCTCTTTGGGAAAGGTTCAGGTTTCAGTTACTGACAGTGCTTATGTGGGCTGCGATTCCCTGCTCCAGTGTCCTCGCCTCCTGCTCAGCAAGTTCTGAGTGGAAGAACTGACAGGTCTGGGTCTACGAGTCTCCTCAGCCTCCCTGCAATGCTAGCCTAATTGGACGCCAGCCAACCGCCGTTCAGCGCTGAGCACATACAGTGAGAGCCCAGCCCCCAGCTCCATGAGGAGCAGGAATAGCTTTACAGACCATCTCTGCTTGGAGAAATCATAGCTGGTGGATTAATGAAGCTGGAGAACCTTGTGGCTGCTAGGAGGAGGAGGAGGAGGAGGCTACTTCTAGGGCCCTGCTGGGATTGTTTTGCTCAAAGAAATGGGGAGTCAAGTCCAGATGAATCAAGTTCTCCAGACTGCCCATCACAGAATTCATCCTTGCACTCAAAATATAATCTCAGGATCCTGGTCAGAATACGTGACTCCCACCTCATTTCCTAGGACAGTGGTGGCGAACCTATGGCACGGGTGCCAGAGGCAGCACTCAGAGCCCTCTCTGTGGGCACGCGCCTGTTGCCCCAGTCCTAGGCCTTCAGCTGGGTTTTATAAAACCGTTTCGCTTTAGGCCTCCGCCCCCATGTGCAAAAAAAAAAAAGATTCAATCAGTCAATTTCAACTTGCGGGGGGGGGGGGGGAAGATCTTGCAAAGTTGGAATTGACTGAACTTTTTAGTCCCACCCAGTCTGTCGTTACCACTGCAGCCACGCCCACCCAATGGGCCACACACCCCCAATTGGCCACACCCAGCCAATGGGCCACACCCACCCGGCACCCGACGAAGCATAAGTGGGTTTTGGGTTGCAGTTTGGGTACTCGGTCTCTAAAAGGTTCGCCATCACTGTCCTAGAAAGTATCCTATTTGTTTATCTTCAAGAGTGTCAGCCACAGTTTTGCCAAACTGAGCTCTGATTTATCCCATATCCTCACTATACACATACCTTTAGGGCGATAAATTTGTAGAGCAGATGCATTTGTGTTTTCTCATTATGAATTGTGTATAATTTCTCTGCAAATCGCTGGGCTGGTCCTGCATCAGGAATAAATAGCCTGGTAGAAATACTGGGATAGTAGTTGCACTACCCTCTTGCCGTCAGCAGAGGTCAATGTGCCATTAACTCTGGGTTGCTTGGAGGGGTTTTTCTGAGGTCCATGGAAGCTGAAGCTGAGTAATGCCATTTTGGCTTTAAGCTGAGACGTCCTTAGCCAAGTGAGCCATAAGATCCAGTATATTTCTTGTGTAATTCTCAGGAATACACCTCCTCGTGTTGATCATCCCAGGATCCGGTGACTTTATGGCAGAGCCTCTTTTGACCCTGCTCTCTTGCCTCAGAGATAGCAACCATCATAGCTACCCAAACCATTTAACTGTCTTTTTCTTATTCTAGAGAGCTCTTTCTCCAACATCACACAAGCAGCAAATCTGCTGGGACCAGCAGGAGTTTAAAAGCTCACCTGCTGCTCCTTTCCCAAGATCTCCGAGCAATTTGGAAGCTGCCTTCTGTCCAAATGCAATACATTGAGCGCTTGCTTTTGTGTGTCTGAAAAACTAGCAGTGTGATAGAGCTGTTATTTCCCCTGTGGTACAGATGCATTTCTTTTCTTCTGCTACCTTTTTCCTATGCAGACCAGCACAAAACACATTATGCCTGTTTCCTGAAAATGAGAATCTTTTCGAGCTCAAAACATACTCACAAAAGAAAGGTGTTTTTGTTATACAGATGTAGAGTGTCTTTCCATAAGCCACATGAGTGCCTGGGTTTGAAGCACAACCCAAAGGACATACAGATGGGTTCACATGTTGCATTAAACATGACTTATTTCACCATTTTTGGATTAATACTCACTTGACTGGGCTCACAGGACAGTTTTACAATTATATTTCCAAACTGGAATGACCAGATTGATGTAATCTGCGACACTAAAGCTAGGTAACTTCTGCTTGCATATATGCATGTTTCCCCACTGAGGATGGTTTACAAAAATACAATTAAAGCTGACTTTAAATAGTATGGCTCAACGCAGTGACTGAACCTACTTATACACTTAGTAAGTCCCAATACTGTCAGCAAGACTTGCTAAGTAGTAAAAACAGAATCTTTTGCAGCAGCTTGGATAACGCCCAAGTGCACTCACATTGGTTGTGGATAACACACAGATCAAACACTGCTCATGTCAAGATGGCTCACTGCTGCAGAGATGTCCTTGGCTTTTTGATGAATGCCTGCTATGGGTGCATCAATACATCACTTTGGTATTGTTCCCAATGCAATTAGCAGAGATGTCTACTGTATGTGGAAACAAACAAGGGTGGGTTTCATAACGACATGAAAGTGTGCAGTTCTTAATAAGTTGTTTAAATCAAATATGTCTGTGTCCCTACACGATTTTTTTCTCTAATTAGGTGGGTCTTTCAAGCTTTCCCACGTATGAAAAATAGGACTGGGCAGAGGCCTAACCCTGCATTAGCTCAGCTGTCATAGCTTTTGCCCGAGTTGGCTACTTCTTTTCTTTCATTGAAATTCGCTTCGAGAGTTTAAACTGTTTGTTCAACTGCCAATCTCTCACAACACGCAGGGACGCATCAGCGTCCATTCATTCTTTCAGCATTTCGAAGCAGATCGCGATTTACGAAGCCGGTCTCGCCCGGCCGAAGGCAGAAAGGCGGGCCTCGCAATCGCACACCTTGCAAAGGTCCACGCCAGACAGCGATGCCATTTTCTGGATTGGGGACTCGCTCCGCTGCCCCAGCAGCGATCCGGCCGGCTCCCGTGGGGGATACAGGGGCGAGAAGGTGGCCGGGGTCAGGCGATGCCGCGGTCCCCGGTGGGAGTCGCTCGTCTCCTCGGCAGCGCAGGCACGAAGAGCAGCTCGCCGTAGGTTCAGGAAAGGCGGCCGCTCCTCGCCTTGCATGTTTCGACGCTTAGCGACCGGAGCCAGGGCGCTCCTTCCCTATGATTGAAGTGAGGAACGTGCTTTTCCACCCACCGATTGTGTACACACACACACAAACGCCCCATTTAGAACCCCAACTTGGCTTTGCCGGGCAGAGGGCAGATTGGGCGCCTGTGTCCCTCGGTCTATTTACTCGGGGTGGAGGGG